TTTCCTTGACTGATGAAGCCTTCCGGATCGAAGGCGAAACGTTTCAGCACAAAGAAAAGAAACTGTCCGAATGGCCTGACTGAAAAATGTTGGATTTTATACCTGGATTATTGAGCATGGACTTTGTTGTCTAATATAGTGTGCTTTTTCCACCTGTTTCCTTCAGATACATTTTTTGTTGATGCTGTTGTTGCCTGCCACTAAAGGCATAAGAGCAATAATGTTTGTTGTCTGTGTGTGCATGTGTGTTTAATTGTCAGTCATGTTACTAAAATATCTCAACTTTTTTAATCAACACTATTCAATATGGCCGCCGTAATTAAGCAACCTTAGCAAAAATGGCTAGAACTCAGCAAGTATTAAAGATATGAAATAAAAGTTGGTGTAGTGGTAGCAGCTGAGAGTCATACTATGAGTACTGCCTGATCACAAAGATCTGTTTACAACTTTCCCAATATATATATAGGAATCAACTTGACATGTCTGTTAGCAAGATACCTCATCAAATATTAAATACATTTTAATGAACATTCCAAAGAATAATCGATGGATGTACAAGAACAACTTATTAACTATTGGAATCAACTGAATTTGCGATGACCTCCACAGTTGTCTTTAGAAAATACAAAAAGGATGACAGCTCAGCCAGTTTTACAGATATTGAACTAATGTTTATGTTGGTAGAGTTGAACGTTAGTCCCAAAGTATATTTTGAGTGCTACTTTATATGCAACATCTTGCTAAAAAATTTTTGGCATTAGCAGCTAGAGTCAATACTATATGGAAAATATTTCACAAACCTGCACATCTCCAACTGAGTAACTCGTAGATTAATTCAAGATAACTAGCACAGCTAAACATCCTTAGCCAATACCTTGTCAAACTGATGAATAATGAGAAAAGGTTTGGTATAAAGCTAAATAAGAACTATCCTCAACACATTTTCTGAGCACTCATACATCTCATATGATCAGTGGCAGCTGATCCATAGAGCCAGGTGGGACCCAGCCCCAGCTAAAAAAAACATTTGCCCCACATAGTAGTTCCTCCTGATAAAGTATTGTAAATTACTTATTTACTGAGCTTGCTGTGTATTGGGGCAGCTGTGGCTGAGTGGTTAGAGCAGTCGTCCTCCAGTGCAAGAGTTGGGGGTTCGAATCCACCAGCAGTCACATGCCAAAGTGTCCCTGGGCAAGACGCTAAACCCCTCATTGCCTCTGATGTGTGTCCCATCGGTGTATGAATGTGATAAAGCTCTGATTAGTCTCTTTAGAATGATTTGTTCAATTAGCTTTTTGTAGAGATCTAGTAGAGTGCTGTATGAATG